GATGATACTCAACTATATATCTCAACAAGACCAGATGAAACTTCTAAATTATCTAAGCTAACAGAGTGTGTTAAAAATGTAAAAGATTGGATGACCAATAATTTTCTCCTATTAAATTCGGATAAGACAGAGATATTACTTATTGGACCAAAAGACAGTACACAGAATCTCTTGGATTACAATTTGCAAGTAGACGGATGTACAGTTACTTCCTCTACAGTCAAAAATCTGGGTGTTATATTAGATAGCAACTTGTCTTTTGAAAATCATATTTCCCATGTTACAAAAACAGCATTCTTCCATCTTAGAAACATTGCCAAGTTACGAAACATGATACCTGTTTCTGATGCAGAAAAGCTAGTTCATGCATTCATGACCTCTAGACTGGACTATTGTAATGCACTGCTAGGTGGTTGTCCTGCATCTTCAATAAACAAGCTACAGGTAGTCCAAAATGCAGCGGCTAGAGTCCTTACCAGCTCAAGAAAACTGCACTGCTGTCTGCATAGGCTGCTCCCTTCTAAGACAACAACTAAGTGAATGATTTGAAACACTTCCATGGGTTTTATTTTTCTCCAAAATTCTGTTTTCCAGATTTTTTTTCCAGATTCCGTTTTAATTTATTAAATAAATAAAATAAATTGTTATCAATATAAAAATAAAAAAGTCTAAACAACTGAATTCAACCATTTATTAATTTATTCAAATAATAATAATAATAATAATTGTATTTTTTCCACACAAAAAATCTGTTTTCCATTTACATTTTTCTGGATTCCATTTTAATTTATTACCATGTCTAAACAAATTAATTCATAAAACTTCAACTATTTATTATAAATTTAACAATAATACAGCCCTGTGAAATCTGTTTTTTTTTTCCCCAAAATTCTGTTCTCCATTATTTTCCCCCCAGATTCCATTTTAATGTATTAATTAAATTGTTATCAATACAAAAATAAAAAAAAGTTTAAACAACTGAATTCCTAAAATTTTAACCATTTATTAATTTATTAAAATAATAATAATAATATTAATTTAAGTATTTTCCGCAAAAAAAATTTCCATTTACATTTTTCTGAATTCCATTTCAATTTATTAATTTCACTTCATCCCAAACCATGTGTAAACAAATAAATTCATAAAACTTCAACAATTTATTACAATTTTAACAATAATACAAAAACTACAGTTTTATTTTGTCCTAAATTACCAAAAAAAATTTCCATTTACATTTTTCTGAATTCCATTTCAATTTATTAATTTCACTTCATCCCAAACCATGTGTAAACAAATAAATTCATAAAACTTCAACAATTTATTACAATTTTAACAATAATACAAAAACTACAGTTTTATTTTGTCCTAAATTACGTATATTCCATTTTAATTTTTCTGGATTCCATTTTAATTGACTAATTGAATTGTAATCAAAAAAAAAAAAAAAAAAAAGTCTAAAAATTGAATTCGGATTCCATTTTAATTGACTAATTGAATTGTAATAAAAAAAAATTAAAAAAAAAGTCTAAAAATTGAATTCATAAAACTTTTACAATTTATTAAATTATTTAAATTTTAACAAAAAAACAAAAGCCTATGATATGTCTTATTTTTTCCCCAAATTCTGTGTTTTCTGTTTTAATTTTTCTGCATTTTGTATTTTAGGTTTAAAAGTAATTTATCATCTAAAATAGCATTAATTAAATAAATTCATTAATTTACCTATTTACTTTTGATTTATTACTCCAAAATATTCCAAATTCTATGATATTCTGCGCTATAAATACCATTTTTATGACTGGATTCCACTATTCCATAAATAAGTCAATTTTAATTAGACTGAACTCTTAGACTGAAATCTTTTGCTGCCTATTTGGAACAGTTTTGTCTAGTGAGTCGTCTCACCAGGTGTTACGCGTCTCACCTCTCGTCGAGTTCCTGTCCGTTAAACGGCTGGAAGTTAGCGCGGTGTGGGGAGGCGGGGCTGAGCGGGGAGGCGTGGCCTGATCTGCCCAATGAATGCCTGCGGCTGCGGCGTCTCTCCAAGCCCCGCCTCTCTGCTCCGCCCACGCTGGAGCGGCGTCTGTCCTGCCGGCCGGAGGACGGAGGCAAAGCATCCTCATCACCGTCCTCGTGCCGAAGAGTCGCCTGCAGGAAGGAGGATGCGATCAGAACCGAGAGATTGGATCAGACATCAGTCAGACAGCAGACGTGAATCTGTCAGACCTCATAGATGTTGAGCTGCTCCAACAGGTCCAGATCGGTTCCCTTCCGACCCAGATAACGCTGCGACACGCTCTCTATTCCCTGCTCCTCCAGAATATCCACCGTATCATAGAACGAGTCTTGATCGGGCAGCGCCGCCAGCGTCTGATGCACCGAGAGAGAGAGAGAGAGAGAGAGAGAGAGATTGTGAGTGTGTGTGAGTGTGTGTGAGAGAGTGTGTGTGTGTGTGTGTGTGTGATTGTGTGTGTGTGTTTACTGTGTGTGAGCGCGTGTCTCACCTTGTTAATAAGGGTCAGCACATACACCAACAGCTCTGTGTCCACACCATCCTTCTCTGCTAAAATCTCCATAGCGTTTGACCACTGCTTACAGCCTGACCATCACACACACACACACACACACACACACACATCACATGATTATGCAAATCATTCAAAACTCACGACTGAGCAAACAAATAAGCATTTAGTGCTGGTGTTTTTTATTAATATATTATAATCATAATTTAATTGTTATTAATAATTAATAATATTTAATTATTTATTATTTGTTTATTAATTATTTAAAGAATTCATTTATCATTCTTTACATAACATCATAATATCAGCTAAAAGAAATAAGATAAGTAATTATTGCATTGTGACATTATTTCATAGACCATTAAACATTTTCTCCCATCACTGTTACTAAATCAATTTATTATTAAATTGTTTTTATGGTAAATGTTTGTAATTATATCATATTACATAACATTATATTATAATTATTAATTATTATTTAATTTAGAATGATAAATTCCTTACTTTTAATAATTATTAATAACTCTTAATTATTTATGATTTGTTTATTATTGAAATAATTAATGCATCATTCTTTAAATAACATGTGATATGGATCAGAAACAGTTCGATCGAACCAATCAGAGCTACAATTCATACCAAAATCATAAGTAATACATGAGAAATTATATTTTGCATAAGGAATTATTGCATTGTGACATTATTTTAAAGACAATTAAAAATTCACCCCCAAATCCTCATAATGTACTGCAAAAAGATAAATTAATTATTTAATTTGTACATATTCATTATAATTATTTATATTATTTATAGAATTAATTATAATTTATAACGATAAATTAATAACATTTTCATAGTTATTTATAAATTGTTTATTTATTATTTAAAAAAATTAATGCATCATAGTAGTATTTAGTGTTTGGTGTTTTAATGATTTTTCATTGTTTATTTATAATAAAAAAAAAATCATGCATCATGGTATGCATATTTGGTGTAGCTTTAGAATAATTAATAATTATTAATCATAAGCAATTATTAGTTTATAATCAAAAATATAAGTATAATTAATTATTATTTTAGCTTTAATTATTTATTAATTGTGCATTTATTATTTTAAATTCATTCATCGTGGTAGTATTAGGTTTGGCTTTCAATTTATGCTAATTTAAATGAAAAATAATTGTATTATTTATGTTTGTACCTCTCTTAGAGTCCACAGTGTCGATGGCCTCGATGAGCAGTGGTGCGTTGGACTCTGAATACTCAACAAACACCAGCAGCAGCTTCAGAGAGGTTTTGACCACCAGACGAAACTGAACACACACACACACACACACACACACACACACACACACACACACACAGAGATCAGATCTCACTCATCATGATCTACATCACACACACTGATCAAACGGCACGTCACCTTTGAGCCGGTGAGCAGGTAGAGCCACTGGATGGTCTCGGTGTGACCTATGACCCCGTTCATCCCATCCACATACAGCATGATCTGACCCAGAGCTGCAGATAGAAACACAAGGGACTGAGCGCTCATTAACATAAAACTGATGATTCTGACAGTGGGTGGGGCTTAGCAGCCTGGATGCTGGCTCTGATTGGTCAGATACAACAGAGCTAATAATAATACTCAGGGTTAGTTACTTTTGTCAGCGCTGCTCATGATGGACCAATCACAGGCAACTGTAATCACTGGAAGAAGGATTTTTAAAAATAATTTTATTGAGATTGCAGAGGTCAAATATTTTGCATCTCAGGTACAAAATACTTTTTCATTTAGATATATAAACGATTATTAATTGTTTATTTATTATATATATATATAAAAAACACGCATGGTGTTAGTATTTGGCATAGCTTTAAAATGATTAATAGTTAATAATGATTAATTATAAGGAATTATTATTTCATAATCATAAAGTATAATTATTTATTATTACTGTAGTTAATGCATCATGGTAGTTTTTAGTGTGATTTGAAATTATTGATAATTATCAATTATAAGAAAGTATTAATTTATAATTATTTTGTAGTTTTAATTGTTTATTAATTATGTATTTATCATTAAATCCATGCATCATGGTAGCATTTGGTGTGGCTTTAAAATAACTAATAATTAATGATGATTAATTATAAGTGATTATTCATTTATAAACATAAATTAAGTATAATTAATTATATTTTTTGCATATTAACATTATATTACATTTTTTGATTTAATTATTTATTAGTTGTGTATTTATTATTTAAAAAATCACGCAGCATGGTAGAATTTGGTGTTGCTTTAAAATTATTAATAATTAATCATAAATTAAGTATAATTAATTAATTTTTTAGCATTAATTATTTGTTAATTGTGCATTTATTATTATAATTTTTTTATATATAAATAATGGTAGTATTTGGTGTGGCTTTAAATTACTGCTAATTTGAATAACAAATCATTTTTTATTATAGTATTTTTTTATACAGTAATCTAACCATTGTTATTATCATTTTAAAATAATTACAAAATACAGAAATAAATCTCAGAAGAATTCAGATGAATCACTGGAATGATACTGATTTTTTTGGCATTATAGTGAATTTAGGGAGAAAAAAATAGACTTAAAACTTTTACAGAAGCACCACATTAGGGTATCATGAAGAAACATTTATAAAACAACATTAAAGACAGATCATTACAATAAAGTGTATTAAAAAAACAACATGGAATTCTATAGTAATAACAATGGCAACCAAAAGGTGGCGCTGTTCTCCTTCATATGGTGATGAAAATGTCTACAACAGAAAATCATGACCTATAATACATGAAATATTTAAAATGTTCCTGAAACTTTGAGAAGTCTGAGGATGCAAACGAACCTCTGAGGATGTAGTTCTGATAGTTCTGATCCGCTTCAGCGCCGACCTTGATCAAACACGTCAGACCTTCAGCCATAACAAACTCATGAACCAGATCCTTATCGTCCTGCACACACACACACACATCAGATGGACTCAACTTTAATGATATTATTGGTTAACATTATAATTATCTATTAAAGGGGTGCTATTATGCTTTTTCACTTTTTCAACTTTAGTTAGTCTGTAATGTTGCTGTTTGAGCATAAA